TTCTCCTGTGATCTCTCTCATCGACATGGTGTTTCTGCCTGCATAACTGCCACTCACTGAAGTTTTATTTTTGCACCAATCTGTGTAAATTCTAGTGCAGGGGCTCACAACTAGAGGTCACGACTGGCGGTAAGTGTATTGCACATGTTATTTGGTGCACTTGTCAGTGAATGTCCATAAAATTGCACTAATCCAGGCTGTAGTGTAGTGGCTTGTTAGAGGGGGAGTCGTGTGGAGCTGGAGGGGACAGACTCTGGGGAACGAAGGGGAGTTGGAATGCCGGGCGCGTTATGCAGTGCTGCGTTGAGTGTGCTGATGGCTTTGGGGTAGAAACTGTTCAGTAAACTGGAAGTGCGTGCTCTGATGGTTTGATAGCGTTTCCCAGATGGCAGTGTGGCAAACAGGTGGTGGCAAGGGGTGTGAGGTGTCCTTGATTATACTAGAGGCTTTCCACAATCAACGGGAACTGTAGATATGCTCCTGGCCAGGCAGTTGTGTTTTGGTGATTCTCTGGCCTGTGTTGATTCCTGATGTCCATTTGGGGTTGTTTGGGAACCACTGCTCTAGGAACTGTTGTGTGTGAAAATCCCAGGAGATCAGATACCAAATACCAATTGTATATCAGTATCTCCTGAAATATCAATACTCAAACTAGCCGGTATGGCAACCAACAACCATGCCAGATCACATTTTTCCCCCATTCTCAAGTTATAAATGAACATCAGCTGAAGCTCTTGACCTGTATCTGCATGATTTATGCATTACGCGGTTCCCACATGATTGGCTGATTGCATAATTGCATGAATGAGCAGGTGTACAGGTCTTTCTATTAAAAAGGCCAGTGAGTGTATGTATATCTATAGTATTTTATGGTCCTTGAATAAACTTGGCTCCTTTCGTTAAAATTACATATACTCTCTCGTTTCTTCATTTCATTTCAATACTATAACATGAAGAGCATTCATATATTTATTCTACTTGCAAGTGACTTGGCCACAAATCCTGGGTGTATTCCAGCCTCATGCATGGTGATCTATTGAGACCAACATAAAAGAAGATGATGATTGAATGCACATTTATTCTGTAGGAAATTATTCCTTCCATATATTGACCTTGGTGTAATCTTTTCTGTAGCTGAATGTTGAATTTCTTTTCTTTTTTTTGTCCACCAGAGGGCATGGTTCATTTGCTCTTTGAGCAGTATCCTCAAAACAATTGGTATTAGCAGATATTTAAAAAAAAAAAAAAAAAGTATTAATAAACTTAACAGCAATTGTAATACTTTTTTCAAACCATCATGGTCAGAATATGAGGTGCAGTTTATAAAATAAATTAAAACAGTTTCTCAGTGAGTTACTAATACTGTTCATTTTTTACACTCCAGAAATGAATGATGCCCTTCTGCAACTTTTCACTTGCTCCTGGTGTCAACTTTCTTACACCTCTCAAATTTACCTTTACAATCACATAAGGAGAAACCACAATCAGGAACGTATGAGATTGTTGATGTCAAGAGAAAATAAAAATGACAATGTGTTGCCCACAGGAAGCTCAAAAAGTATTCTTCACACTAACACCACTCCTGGACAAAATCAGAAAGAAATGTATCACTGCTCAACGTGTGGGAAGGATTTTGCTAATCGGCATAATCTCAGAAAGCACGAGTGAGTCCACACAAAAGAGACATTTCCCTGCTCACAGTGTGGAAAAACTTTTACTTACCAGAGTCATCTCCAACAGCATCAGCGCGTTCACACAGGAGAAAAGCCATATCACTGCTCACAGTGTGGGACAAGTTTTAGTAAAAAAAAAAACTCTACAAAGACACCTGCGTATTCATACAGGAGAGAAGCCGTATCATTGCTCACAGTGTGGGGAAAAGTTTTATATCTCTGGGTAATCTCAAAGAGCACAAGCGCATTCACACAGGAGAGAAGCCGCATCACTGCTCACAGTGTGGGAAGAGTTTTAATCAACAGAGTAATCTTCAATCACATCAGTGCATCCATACAGGAGAGAATCCGTATCACTGCTCACAGTGTGGGAAGAGATTTAATCATCAGAGTGATTTTAAAAACAACGCATTCACACAGGAGAGAAGCCACATCACTGCTCAGTCTGGACAGAGAGTCACTTACTTCAGGACATTTAAGAAACAAAGTGCAAAACATGAAGTAGTCGGCTTGTGCCACATGATCTTCATATCTATATGTAGTTGTATGCAAAAGTTTGGCCACCTCTGGCCAAATTAAATATTTTGTTGATCTTTGAAACCATTTTAAAAATAATTTTTTTCTGTATATATTAATGCACAGTTACTTTATATTTGATGAGCATAGAAAAAATAAAGATAAAAGAAAATAATTTAAAGTCATTTTGGCATGTGCAAAGGTTTGGATACCCTGCTAAATCAGTATTTGTTAACACCATCTCTGGCAGATATCACAGCTTCCAAACATTTTTTGTAGCCAGCTAAGCATCTACCTGTTCTTGTTTAATGACCATTCACCCACTCTTTCTTGCAGAATGCTTCTAGTTCTGAAATCTTCTTAGGCTGTCCTGTTATGGACCGCATTTTTAAGATCTACCCACAGATTTTCAATGTTGTTCAAGTCAGGGCAGAATGAGGGCCATTTCAAAAGTTTCAGCTTTCATTTCTTGAAGTAGTTCATGGTGGATTTTGAGGTATGTTTTCGATCATTGTTGTGTTGTAGAAACCATTTTTCTTTTCAGCTTCAGTTTCTTGAGGGATTGTGCCACATTTGCTTCCAGAATTCGCTGGCTGCCACACAACCCCAAAGCATAATAGATCTACCCCCATGATTTGGCAACATGTTCTTTTCATCAAATGCTTCTCCTTTTTTTTTCTCCCAACATACCTTTGGTGTTTGAGACCAATGACTTCTATTTTTACTTCATCAGTCCACAGAACTTTCCAAAATGCCTCTGACTTATCTCGAGGTTAATTTGCGTACATCCGATGTTGACTTCTGTGATGAAGCTGCAGGTAAGGTTTCCTTCTGATGACTCTTCCATGCAGATCATGTTTGTGCAAGCAACAATAAACCTTCTTGCACATCCTTACTACTATATAGGGGTTTTGCTTTGCCTTTCTGGCCCGAATATGGGCAGACCAATTTTTCTTGGTCTTCCAGATTTTGCCTTGACTTCAACAGTTCCCCCTTAGCTACCATTTTTGAAGACATTTTGGACAGTGTAAATTGTGAGCTGGAAGTGCTTTGGTATCTTTTTATAGCCTTCCCCTGCTTTGTAGACATCAATTTGCTTCATTTTCAGATCCTTGTTATCCTTTATTATGCTCTGAATTGTTTTCTTAGTGACAATTCTTGACCTGCCTAATGCGTTAAATAAGTTCTAAGACTTTGCAAGGGTGTTCAAAATTTTGCTCATGCCAATTATAACTTTTATTTTTTTCTATTTTGTAAGATCATCAAATATAAAGTAACTGTGCATTAACATTAGTTGTATTTACTTCAAAATAAGTAAAATATATAATGTGGGCAGAGGTGGCCAAACTTTTGCATACAACTGTTCAGATGTGTTCCTTTTAAGTGGCCAGTGAGTGTATGTAAAGTGAGGGTAAATAAGAATTTGAAGGCTTTTGTTTTTATATAATATTCTCCCATTGCATATATCCATGTCAAATTAACACACATAATGTCTTTTGACTTTGTACGTATAAATATGAACATGGTGTTGTCATTACAGGCAACACCAATGCATTCACACAGAAGAAAAGCCATATCACTGCTCACAGTGTTGGAAAATTGTTATACACAAGTCATCTCAAAGATCATAAAGGCATGCACACCGGAGAGAAGCCATTTCACTGCTCAGATTTTCATAAGAGTTTTAATAAAGCATATACTCTACAAAGACAACTGCGTATTCACACAGGAGAGAAGACGTATCACGGCTCACAGTTTGGGAAGAGCTTTAATTAAGTGTGTGATCTTCAAAAACACCAGTGCATTCACACAGGAGAGAAGATGAATCACTGCACATAGTGTGTGAAAATCTTTAAACAACAGAGACATCTTGAAAGACACCAACTCATTCATACATGAGAGAAGCCATATCACTGCTTAGTGTTGGAAGAGCTTTGCTTGCCAGTGTCATCTCAAAACACACCAGCGCGTTCACACAGGAGAGAAGCCGCATTTAACTGCATAACTGTGGACAGAGATTCACTTATTTCAAGACATTTAAGAGACACAAGTGCACCAACATTGAGTAGGCAGCTTGTGCCACATGATCTTCAAGTATCTATATATGGATTTTTGTCTTCTTTGTGTGTATCAGAAACTGCTGATCTCGTGGGATTTGCATGTACAACAGTCTCTGTAGTTTGTTGAAGATCAGAAAACATAACCTGGGCTTTTTATCAATCTTCAGCTGTCCAGTTTTGGTGAGTCCATGTCTGCTGTAGCCTCGGATTTATTTTCTTGGCAGACAGGTGTGGACCCTGGTCTTCTGCTCTTGTGGCCCATCTGCTCAATGTTTGGCAGCTTGTGCTTTCTGAGGTGCTTTGGTACTCAAGTCGTTTTTGAGTTATCATAGCCTTTCTGTCAGCTTGAACCAGTTTGACCATTGTCTGCTGACGTCTCTCATCAAAAAGGCATTTTTGCCCTCAGCAGTTTTACACTGGATGTCTTTTGTTTTACTCAAATCAACCTGTCTGGCACCAATGACCTTGCCAGGGTCAAAGCCACTGAGATCACATTTTTCCCCATTTTCATGTTTGATATGGACATCAACTGGAGCTCTTGACTAGTATTTTCATAATTTATGCATTATGCTGTTCCTACATGATGATTGCATAATTGGATGAATGAGCAGGTGTACAGGTTTTTCTATTAAAGTGGCCAGTATGTATATTTATAGTATTTTATGTTCCTTGAATAAAGTTGGCTCCCTACTTTAAAATGATGTATTCTGTCTTTTGCTTCTTCATTTTATTCCAATACAATTGCACCCAGTCCCTGCTAGTCTAGCAGCTAAGGATCCTGTGCTCTCACCACCGTGGCCCAGGTTCAATTCCTGGCCAGGGAACCAACCCAGCCACTGTACTCTCAGTGCTGGTCCCAAGCCCGGATAAAATGGGAGGGTTGCGTCAGGAAGGGCATCCAGTGTAAAACCTGTGCCAAGTCAAAGATGCAGGACCGTGCCCAACATAAAGTGCTTACTGAAGATGGATGATTGAATATACATTTATTTTGTAGGAAGTTATTTCTTCCATGTATCTACCTTGTGTTTAAGCCTATTGTTTATTTGCTAGAGCAGCCTAATGTTATTATTATCTTTTGCCAACAGAGGGCATGGTTCATTTGCTTTTCAAGCAGTATTCTCAAAATAATTGGGAGGAGATATAAATAAGTATTAATAAACTTAGCAGCAATTGCATACTTTTAGAGACCATCATGATCGTAGTAAAATATGAGGCGCAGTTTCTAAAATATTTGGACATTTCCCTGCTCACAGTGTGGAAAAAGTTTTACTTATCAGAGTCACCTCCAACAGCATCAGCGCATTCACACAGGAGAAAAGCCGTATCACTGCTCACAGTGTGGGAAGAGTTTTATATTTCTAGGTAATCTCAAAGATCATAAGCGCGTTCATACAGGAGAGAAGCCACATCACTGCTCACTGTGTGGGAAGAGTTTTAAGATTCACTTATTTCAAAACATTTAAGAAACACAAGTGCACCAACATAGAGCAGTCAGCTTGTGCCATATGACCTTCAAATCTTTTATACAGTTGTATTCAAAAGTAAGGGCACTCCTGGCCAAATTGCAAATTTTTCTGCAGATAGAAAAAATAGGACCAAAATAGAAAAAAAGAAATATTAATTGTGGCATGTGCAAAAATTTGGATACCATACTAAATCAGTGCTTGGTGCGATCCTCTTTGGTAGATATCACAGCTTCCGAACACTTTTTGTAGCCAGCTAAGTGTCTGTCTGTTCTTGTTTAATGAATAGTCACTTACATTTGCAGAATGTTTCTAGTTCTGAGATATTCCTGGTCTGTCTCGCATGTACAGCATATTTAAGATCTACCTTCAGATTTTCAATGATGTTCAGTTCAGGGGAGTGTGAGGGCCATTTCAATAGCTTCAGCTTGCATACTTGAAGTAGTTCCTGGTGGATATTGAGGTATGTTTTTTTTTTTTTTTTTTTTTTCAAACTATTGTCCTGCTGTAGAAGCCATTTTCGTTTCAGCTTCAGTTTCCTGGCTGATTGTGTCAAGTTTGCATCCAGAATCCGCTGATATTTACTGAAATCCATTCTTATATTTACCTATGCAAAGTTTTCTCTGCCACTGGCTGCAACACAACCCCAAAGCATAACAGATCTACCCCATGCTTTGGCAAGGTGTTCTTTTCATCAAATGCCGCTCCTTTATTTCTTCAAAAATACCTTTGGAGATTGTTAACAATGACTTCCATTTTTATTCATCACTCCACAGCACTTATTTCCAAAATAGCACTGGCTCATCTAGATGTTGTTTTGCGTACATCAGATGTTGACTTTTGTGATGACGTTGCAGGTAAGCTTTCCTTCTGATGACTCTTCCATGTAGATCATATTTATGCCACAATACTCTTATGTCAGCTAAACTGTCCTACAGGTCCTTAGTGCTGTATGGCAGTATTGCTTTGCCATTCTGGCCTGAATGTGGGTAGACCAATTTTATCTGAAAGTTTTTTTT